ATGATCCAGGTCTTTTAAACGAACGACGCCAGGTTCTTACCCAAATCGTGATGGATATACTAAACCATCCAGTGGCGCGTGACCTACCCGACGTACTGAGATTCCTTGGGCATGAAACAATCAGCGCCAAAGTGATGGTACCGCTGTCGAGCCAGTGCACTGGCTCGATCCACAAGACGTCAAGCCCTCCATGGACAACGCCATGGCGAGTGACTGTAATGTCGTCTTAAGAGGGTCCAAAATGTTTCATTTCTAAATGAGCTGGACACTTCACAAACGAACGCCTACACGGCAACATTTACGCGTAGGGTACTATTTAAACAAGATATATAACGATGGAAGACGAAAGTCAAATTAAAGGAAATTTTGACAATTTAGCGGAATAGTAAAAGCTTTTATCAATAGGATTGAGGGCGTCAAGTCCTATATGTAGGATATGAGTTGCAAGCACATTCGGCAGGATTTCAAAAGGTGATCACTCCACATTTGCTTAGAAAAACGCACCCTGTCATGCGACCGCACACGAGCAAATAAATAGCAACAGTCACCAGATAAGTCAAAGCTTATGTCATTGTTTCATTAAATTGCGCGGATGCTATTAGATCCTCACGAAGAAAAACTTGATCCAAGATGATCTTCAAGCATTGAATGACGTTCTGCGTCCGTCAAGTTTGCGCAAAGCATGCGGGTACTAGTCGGTGACGATCGTCAAGCACCGAATTGAAAAGTGTGGCAGTCTAAGGTACCCTCGGACGCCGCTGGATAGCGAAACATCGCCATGCTGCCAAGGGGTGCGTATTCAAGCTTGTCGGAGCTTTCGACAAGTCGGAGCTTTCGAAATCATCGGCGTCAATCTTAAAAACGAAGAACAACATAGTGCGCCATCTCTGGAATGCAAACTCGTGTTGCAAAGATTCAAAAGCATTTATGCTAGACTTTCACTGTCGTCTGTAATCACAGTAGATCACGGCATCGGATACCATACTTATTATGGTGGGGTTGGCCTGATTGGTGATGATGCGCTATGGTGGTGTTTCACTGTAAGTCTAACGTAAGAGTCGCACAGAGAATGGGTTTAATTTCCGTCCCTGGAGCGCGAAACCCAGACCTCTCAAGCTTTGAGTACTTGCGTCGCTCAAGTGAAAAATAGAATATGGGAATTGTAAAAGCGCATTCTATACGTGATTCTGGTCATGACTGGTTTCGTGTCACACCAACCCATAATTTGTAACAGGATAGCTCAAAATGCTTACAGGTCAACGTTTTCGCCGCCTTAAAGCAACTCTTTTCAATAGGTACAGAGCGAGAAAGACACTATTCTCCACAACAACGCAGCGTACGGTGCTCGATAGATTTTGAGCAACGCTGTCATATCAACCATCTTGCGGCGGTTGACGTCGCTACTTTTACACAGCTATAAAAGGTTGTACAATCAGCAGCAAATTTCGTCTAACTAACCAGCCGAATGTTCTATGAAAGCTTGCTGACAATTCTTACATAGCCATTGTTCAGTCAGATGAGACGAAGCGTAAAGTTTCACTAGCTGCGCGCAAAACCCGTCAAGGCATAATACGTATTAAAAACCATTTCTTGGACTCGATGACGAAAACACATCAACTAGCTCCATTTGCAAAGGGATTTCTGTTGTGGTTGCACATACGAAGCTTTCATCTCGGATTCTACGTTTACGGACACACAGAGGTTAGGTTCGTACGACCGAGAGCTTTTCAAGGAATTGATATAGTTGACTGCTCTGCTATGTCAAAGGTACATAAATTCAAGAATTTCTTATACTAAAACTAGCACCACTGTGCACGTTACTATTTTGAATACTTTTGTGTCGTAATACACCAAGTCTAACGTGAAATTCGTACAATTGCATTGTGTGAGGGTTTAAAATAAAAAATTACCGGAGTTGTTCCATTACACTCTTTTACCAAGATGTAAACAATACGGGGCTCACACTTATCTCGTCTTTCTGAGACACCGCGCAAAGTGACCGCTCCACGAGCAACTACTGCGTCTGGTATTCCAATTCGCTCACTCCACTTCACCGTGGATGCTCTTTGGCGTAATTGCAACAGGAATTGACTTCTGTGCACCAGATTAAATGTTCAAAGATCACCCGCCTAAAAGAGCCGATGCACTTAATAAGTGTCTAGGTGAGGATGTAAAAGTGTTTTCCGATGACAATGGTATTAATCACTGTCTGAGTCCCGACGAACACCTCCTCCCTCACCCAACGATTCACGGTCAGGCCGTCCTTTTTGCAAGAGACGCTAAATGCTCTCATTCTCCTCGCTGCACGAGTCTCGACTCTGTTCGGCACACGACCCAGCTCATGGATCGAGTAAGGAGGTCATGAGGCCTCACCCGGCATAAGGCTTAGCAAGCCGGCATCAGCCAAGCAGACGTTTGCCCAGTGCGGCGTCTTATGCTTGAACTTGCAGATTTTAGAGCAGGACGCTGGCGTCGAGGTGACACTCCATCACCTCGATTTTCTGTTACTTACGACCCTTCTCATCTTCATCTGACAGCTGAAACAGCTATCGACGAAAAGCGGTATTCACCGCAAGGTTCTTCGCCTCTTTAAGTTGGAAGCGCGCTGCGACGGGCGACCCTGCCATTCCACCAAGGGAGATAAAGGTCGCGGGTGCGCCAGGGCGCCAGCGGCTACGGCACCACAGCATTGGTGCTGAATGAGGCCTCTAACTCCCAAAACCTTCGAGCTGACGATTACTCATTCGCTTTACCAGTAACCGGTAGCAGTTCTGGTGCATCCACCGGCCAGCCAAACATTTTGCGTGAAAGTGGACTACCCTCGCTCATAGAGCAGTACCGGCGGAGGAGGATGTGAGACGAGTTTGAATTCGCTCTCTGAGTTCGCCCTCGCCCGGCCTGGCTTGAGACGTCCTAAGTGGCTCAGAACCATTTCACCGCATTGGACAAAAGGATGTTTCAGCTATAGTGGTAAAAACTATTTTTATGCAACAAGGACGTCCCGTTCATCTGGCGGTTCAGGAGTGGACTCGCAGTATACAATCAGTAAGCTTTCATAAAACTTGGGCGTGTTCACGTTCGCTCCGGGCTGTTTGGCGTGCGGCTCAACCCATTTTTGCTACAATAGCGAACGGACCAACGTAGAGCGGTCGGAACTTGGGTATTAGAGCGTAGATACTGCAAATGCACATTTGTTTATTTGCAGACAATAGAACAAACATATTCGTGTGAGTTTAGCCTCAGCGAATTGCTTTTTCATCTTGAATCTGAGCTATAACGATTTTGATCGGCAGTCACTCCAGTAAAACTCAAGTCTGCGGCAACATAAGTAATGGAGTACATCTTGTAGAGGTGAGGACAGCGTTATTTAGCGCATACCTAACGAATGAGAGCAGCTCAATCCAGCACCGCAGTCTCTTCGCGCAAGTGATCAAAACGATAACGCGATTTACGCGTTCCGTCTGACCA